CCCTTGAAATTTTGATTGGCTGACTGATGGCCGGAGGTTATCGGCAGCTTGTGTAACCTTGACGGTCGCTCCTGTTCAATATTATATACATGTATTATATAGCATGACTAACCCGAGAAATTACCCGATTATGTGATGACTAATACGTAAGAATATCTTATCCACAAGAGTTAATTAACGTTAATAGATAAAATCTTTTCGAGAATTGAGAAACGTTACTTCATTTTTGAGTGATCTATTGATATTACGTAAATCGAAACTCTATTTTAATTTATGTATCATCAAAATACATGGTGACATTTGTTATTTTTTTCTTGGTCTAATATGCATTTCGAAATTATCACTATGATATGCAGAAACCACGCCCATATCTGTCTCATTGCCCCAAGTCCCCAACAATTTTAAAAAAAAATTTTTCCTTTTAACTATGTGTGTAACAAGATTTGAAATTTTCGTGAATTTTGATATAAAAGATATAGCTTGTCTAACTTGTTCTTTTTTATCGGATCAAATGTTAATTTTCTTCAATTTAATATAGACAATAACACTAGATCAAATAATTGATTACAATTTTTTAAAGGTTATATTTACGAACCACAATCCGTTCTATTAATTTATTCTTTTATCATATCAATCGATGGCCGGCATATTATCGATAGACCGTCCATTTGGAATCTATTTGGATGATTATTTTGTAAAAATTTATAGTTTACTTACAGGAAAAGATCCAAATGATTTTGCTTTCGTTGAAGGTGTCACGCCTCTTTCAACACTTACTGAAGTTGTTATTAGTTGTATTACTTATTTGGCCGTGATATTTGGAGGTCGACTACTTTTAACGAATAGTCCAGTCATAAAACTCAATTTCATTTTTCAAATTCATAATTTATTGTTAACCGTAATATCAGCCTGTTTATTAATACTGTTCATCGAACAACTATTTCCAATATATTGGCGTAATGGTCTTTTTCATTCTGTATGTAGCAGAGATGGATGGACTCAACGATTAGAATTATTATATTATTTGAATTATCTTGTCAAATATTGGGAACTTGCTGATACTATTTTCTTGGTATTAAGGAAAAAAAATCTTGGTTTGTAAAATAATAATTATAGTAGTAATAAAATTTTCTTTGTATGCTATTCTAAATTCATTAATTATTCCTTTTTACTCTAGAATTCTTACACGTTTATCATCATAGCATGACAATGGCTTTATGTTATTCTCAATTACGCGGTCGAACTACTGTGGTAATTTTCAATTCTGTAAATTCTGTAATTTTTCTAACGTTTTATCAATAGAATATAATATGTTAACTAACTAACTTTGTATTCCTTGAAATCTTAGTCATGGGTTCCGATCACCTTAAACTTGACGGTGCACGTGTTTATGTATTACTATTATTTTCGTGCTGCTGGAGGTGTAAGGATTTGGTGGAAGCAATATCTTACAACATTACAAATCATTCAATTTATAATTGATCTTTTCTTTGTGTACTTTTGTTCTTATACCTACTTTGCTTCCACATATTGGCCTTGGGTACCAAACTTTGGTTCTTGTGCTGGTGACGAAGGGGCTGCTATTTTTGGTTGTTTACTTTTGAGTAGTTATTTATTATTATTTATTGGATTTTACAACAAAACTTATAATTCTAAAAATGCCGCTGCTTTGAAGGGTAAAGGTAAACCTCCTTCAAAAGCTGCTTAATTAACTTTTTGTGATATATATATATTAATTGCTTAAGGGAATCGAATATAATAGTCTATGATGACTGTTAATTTTTTCCTTTACAATTTTTTTCTTCACCTATTTATTTATTATTTATTTATTTCCATTTATTTATTTCCATTTATTTATTGCAGTAGAAAAAAAAAACAATGCCTTTTGTTCTTTTTTTTTTTTTTTTTTTTGCTGGTTTAGATTCAATTATACATAGATTAAAATCTTCTCGGCTACTTTTTTTTTTTTTTTTTTTTTAATTTGATATTCATTTAAAATTCATAATATTCTATCGCTGTTTTTTTAATCGGGAAAAAAAAATTTTTTTTTTTATGAAACCCGGAGATCGATTCGAAAGTTTGATTACACAGCCATTCACAGCCATCAATATAATTAAGCCACAACATTTCCTTTAACGTTAATAGGGGATACACTTAAGCCGTGCTGTGATTTTTAATTTATTTATTTCATATACAGTATTTCATGAAAAATCACACGGCTTTACCGTCCCTTAAAAAGTGATTGCTTTATAAAATTAAACTAGCGTTAGTTAGCGTCAAAGGTGATCTGATTCATAATAAGGAATTAAGCAATAACGATAACAGTGTAAGAAGCATGTAACTTGGATTATACATATATTGGGTTGTATCACGCAAGTCTAATTACAAACATAGTGCCACTGGATTAGTTGTATATCATTACGTAGCAATTTTTTTTTTTTATCGTTATAGTACGTACCGGTACAGTACGTAAATGGTTTTAAGATCTGCACGCAATATTAAATTCCTCTCGTAATATTTGATATATTTTTTTTTAACCTTATAAACGCAAAACGTTTAATAAAAAGTGCCCTTACATAGCAGCAACGTTAAAATTTTAACTTACAACATAATAGAATGCCGGAAGTCTATAATCGACCATCGATATTGTACCAAAAATACAGACAATATTTGTTTAAATCGCTGAAACTTTTTATAGCAAAACTTTTGTCGCGGATGATGCTGAAATCTAGGGCCTCGATTTGAAAACATAAGCCCTGCTAGCATCCACATATACTCTTCAATTATCATAAAACCTAACCCAATCCTAAAAAAAAAACGCTCCAAAAAAATTTTAAAATTTCATAACAAAAATAGGTTCGAATTTCAGCACCAACCAATTTCAGCATCATCCGCGACAATTTTTTTAAAAAATTGACTGATAACTTTATATATAGAACTTAGCACTACAAAATTACTACGTAGCCAGTTTGTTGAAAAAAATACTTCTATAAGAGTTATATAGCAATTGAGGATTGTTTTTGAATTGCTATAGCTTTTTACTATATAAAGTTTTTCAAAAAACTTGGTAATTTTGCAGTGCTTAGTTCTATATTAGTCAATTGTTTAAAAACACTATCTTGATGTAGGGATGGACAAGTCCGGTCCAGTCCGTCCGGTCCTAAAAAGACCGGTCTATTAATGTTTTCAGCCCAAGAACGGTCCTTAATTATTTAATCTTATTGGCTAGCGGAGAAAATCAAATATGACGTCGGTAATTGAAAATAAAAGATTATGTAACATATTTTTTAATTAGTTATTTGAATTATTCATGAGGACC